GAAGTGACAGTGTCTTTATTCCCACAGGGTTTGTCCTGAAATATGATACACATGAGAAATTCCAAGACACCTAGGACATCTTCTACTTCCAGTTCACTAGGTAATATTAGCATGATATTATCAATATTGTTAAGCCATAAAATATAACCAATATAATATCTTGTGTATTTGGTGAGTGGATAAATCATTGCTGATTAAATTGTTACACAAAAATTGTAACAGTAATATATTGCCCCAAATGATACATGCCATATAGAAGGTGATAAAAAGCCATCTCTGAATGAATTAATATTGGGTCATCAGAAAAGTCATGATATATTTTTCTGCTTCTCTATGACTTTTCTGATGACCCAATAAAATGTATAGGGAAGGATTTCTCTTTAGAAGACAGAAGATGAGTACAGGGCAAAAAGAAATACTAAGCCAGTTTCCCTATTCCAACTCTCAGGACTTGACCCTTTCCAGATAGATGTCTTAATTATCACGGAAAAGACTTAGTAAGTACATTTATTCAACCTATGCTGTAATTCGTCAATCAGAAGGATTACATTCTTATGATTTTAGATTTATCAGCCCTGATCCTATAAGGTTGTGTTAGGACAGGTGTGAAGATAATCTAGTTCTCTGTTCATATATGAAGGTAGGGATTTAAAATCTGAGGACTGCGATATTTTTTCAGTATAGATGAGCAGTCAGCACACTGAAAGCTTTGTGTTCTACATTTTCTGCAAAATAACCTCTTGAAGTAGTAACCAGATCAGAAAACTTTCCCATCAGAAATGCTTGAAATTCATACAAGGAGTGTGTGCTTGTGTCCCCAAAATGCCTAGAGGAGAATAGAGGAGAAGGGATTGAGGCCTGGCCATACCACCTGGATGTTATTTCTCATTCTCTGTCTCTCCAGCGAGCACAAATCCTACAGCAAAAATCTCAAAAATATATGTATGTGTGCATGTGTGTGTGTATGTGTGTGTGTGTGTGTGTATAAAATAAGACAAAATATTTCAGTAAAGCATTTATTGATCTGCCCTTTGTTAGTTCAGAACTGCAAGCTCTTTTATTGTCAAAGTTGGATGAATCCATATCATTTATCTACATAGACTTTATGTGATTTTAATTTACTAAATAAAAAGTATGACCTTTTACCTTTGGTAAAACCCCTTTTCTCTTCAGGGCTCAAGGGCAGAATGGGACTGTGTGTTGTGCCATTCCTCTAAGGGTCCTTGCAGCTCTAAGCCAATTACGTTCAACTTCTAAGGAATTGGCATGTGTTTCATGTTCGATCTTGCTTGCTCTTCTCTTGTATGTGAGTGGTCTGGACAGTTCTGCCCACAGTGGTGCTGCCTATCCTAGTGCTACATCCTGGTAGCATAATCTTTGTGAGTCAAATTCTGAGAGTATTTTTTAAGACATCAGCACATGGCATTCATGTAGTACCTTTTTTTTAAAAAAATATGATTTCTTTTTTACATTCAGTCATCACGCATCTCTCTAGTGCACACTGTGTTTTTTCTTTTTTATTAAAGAATTATTTTTATTTAACTTATTATTATTTTTTAATTTGACCAGAGAGAGAAAGAGAGAGAGGGAAAGTGAGAAAGCAAGCTTCCAGACCTGGGACTCAAACCACAGTCTGCCATGAGGAAGTCCAGCACCTTAACCACGTGCTGGTCCCTTAACAATGTGGTTTTTCAAAGTATGCATGCAGTACATGACAATTAAATCAAGGATATTTCCATATACATCATTTTCAATAACAAACTTGATATTCTTGTGTCTGTTATAATAAGTGTTTCTTCCCTTTGCTTTAGGTTTTAAACTTCTTTTAAATTCTACCTCCATACTTTTGTTAAATAAATGAATACATATGTCTACAGTTAGTATCTACAATTTTGGGGTGAGAAAACTAAAACTCAGAGGACAGAAGGGGCCTCCTGAGTCCTGATCAGGTGCAAGCTATTAGCAGGATCCAGTGCTATAGGGACACAACTCACGACTAAGTACTCTTCCAGGAACAGCTGCAGTTCAGGTTCTGCTGTTCACAAATCCCACTGCAACTTATTTCTAGGTGAGTTAATTGTCACTGAAGCAGAAAGTAGAAATGATGCCAGCGCTCTTTGCCTCCACCCTCTGGGGACCATGGGAAGGAGAAAGCTGTCTGTCAGAAAGTGAGAGTCCTCTGGAGGTCAGAGGTTGAAACCTAGGGACATCACCAGCAATAGTTTTAAAAAGTCTAAAAAGGGGGATGTGAGTCCAGATACATGTAGAGAAAAAGCAAGAGCCTGGTGGCACAAGCAGGAAGGGGCATGCTAAAGGAGGAGAGCAGAAGGCCTGCTCAACTCACAAGGGGCCTCCACCAGGCACAGAAACGAGCAGGAAGCTGAGGCAGACAGCGGGCGATGGCCTCTCTGCCGATTCACATGCAGGTAGTGGTCGCCAGCAGAGAAGGTCCCAACAGGGAGGGAGGGGGCAGTCATGGAAGCTCTTCTGAGGTGTACATTTATTATGTGTTGGAGCTGCTGGTAACAGGGAAGGCAGCAGAGTCCTTCCAACAAGCAGGCTTCTCAGATATGTTTGTGTGGGGGTGAGGGAGGTGGTGTTTCCTGACCCAAAGGAGTTTCTACACCAACTTTAAGCTTCATTCAGTTCATACAAGATTTGAAATGGCTAGATGAAGTGGGTATGTGGGTACTAATGTTATTTTTCCAACACTTCATGTGGAAATAGATTTTTTTCCCTCATTCTACAGATGAATATACTGTATGGTAATAATAGATGTGGTTCTTACTACATATACTAAATAACTAGAGCACTTTTACCTGGTTGTAGGTAAACCAGGAGTACAAGCATCTTCAAAAAGTTTAGAACGTAAGTACTATGAGAAAACTATTCATTGACTCAAAACTTTTTTGCACCAAAATAAACTTATACTTCAATTCACCTTTTCCATGAACATTTTGAAGTTGCTTGTATTTATTCAGACTTCCTAGAGGAAAATATATTTCCCTATATTATGAACTATAAATGATAAAAGTGAATGAGAACTGAGATGTCAAGTTAGCAGGGAAATAAGAGGAAAATATAATTATAGGGAGATAATTAGGACTAGGAGGAAAATTAATCTTCTTTGTGTAAGAAAAAAAATAAATATCAATTGATATGGGTGTAGAAGACTGGTATTTCTTTTTTGGTGAGAATCTATACCTCTTCCCCCATTTAAAAAATAATTTAAGTGTTTTTTTTTTTTCCGTAGGGGACATGCATTTGCCAGAGATAGTCAAAGAGAGACAGTGAGAGGGAAAGTGAGAGATCACCTTCCAGGGGAGATGATCATGCCACAATCCCTTCTCCTCCATTCTCCTTTTGGAATTTTTGGCCTGCACACACACATGCCAGCATGATTTTTCAAGCCACTAGGTCTGGGACTTGAACACTGGTCAGTAATATGGGAGAATCAAGACCTAATTGATACTATCCTGAATTCAGTAGCTAATATGGACACCCAGATAGAGGGAAATGCATTTGTTTAACATTGGTTGGGAATCTTTCTGAGAAAAATATACAATCAATTTGAGATGAAAAGAAAAATAAGGCTAAAGTCCCTGTACCCGCTCCCAGGGATTATAGGGAAATCAGGCACACATGATGTCGATTCCAAAATGCTGTTGTAAGCTTGTCATAGAAACATGAATGACTTGCTCTGGAGGCCTGAAGAGTGAATGAGCATTTGGGAATAGGGAGAGGGAGGACAGGCTTTACTGAGCAGGTAACATCTGAGTGGGACTGGAGAAACCTCTCAGATCTCAGAGGAGCAAAGTCATCCCTGACTAAAGGGGCTAATGTACAAGGAAACAGGGAAAAAAAAATCTTTGGTTAGCACATAATCTGTAGAGTGAAGTGCTGAGAGGAGACTAGAGGAGGAGGTCTACATGAATTTTCAGGCTCTCTATTCCTCTAGGTCATGCCATTATGTTTAGACTTCCCCTTGGGCAATGTGGTACCATTAAAGGTTGGTAATTAAAGAAGAACCTAGAAAGTCATGAATAAGCACCTCAAAAATGGTTTCAAAATATGCTTTGTGCTATATTGTGAGAGCTTATTTAGTTTTCTGTAGTACTTACTTAGAGTGACTTACTGTTTCAGTTTACCAGAGATCTCCTAGGTTTAGCACAGAAAGTTCCCTATCCCCAAACATCATTCAGTCCCCATCAGACTCATTTGCATTGAGAGGAATAGTGTCTGTGGCAGTAAAGGAGATTGAGAGGGGAAGATGAATCTTACATGGGAATCTATGCATGAAAAGGGAAGAGAAAGAAGCCACTTGACAGACAAAAGCATGACCCTGGTTCCCTTACCCACTGGGGTCCAGCTAGCTAGACATCCTATTTACACCCTCTGAAGCCTCCCAGTACTGGCTTGACCCTGAGCCTTTGTGAAGGTGACAGACCATTCAGATATTTGTCTCCCATTTGTAAACAGACCACTGGAAGGAGTACTAGTGGAAGAAAGGTGACCCTATGCAGAGCAGCTCCACTGGCTCCTTGGTGTCAGGGAGAGTTCTGGCAGCCCCAGTCATGCCCTTGATTCTTCTTTCCACTGTGGCCACCTGCTGACTCAGTACAATGTAAACTCTTAAAGTTCCTAGAAAATAACTCTGTGGTATAAAATGAAACTAAGAGAAAACAGCAGAGCACCTTCTCTACCAATTTGTTTAAGCTTTTATTGCTTCTTCTAGACAAAAATTTCTGTGTGGTCTTTCCTTCATTCTCCTGAATTACATGCACATAATCTATTACCTTTAACCATGGAAAAAACACCTGCTCCCTCGAACTAAGCAGAATTGTAGGATTTCAGAATTAAGAGTTGAGGGGAGTATGAGGAAAAAGAATGTCAAAGCTCAAGGGGGAAGGCGAGAGAAATCTCTTTACCATTCCTACTTGGAAATGATGCAGAATCTTGCTTCAGGATTTTAGAATTTTACTGAGCCTTCCTCTCTGCTACTTCTTTTAGTGGAAGTGAACAACAAGAAAATGCAAAGTGGAAACCAGACTTCCGTGGCTCACTTCCTCCTGGTGGGTCTGCACCACCCACCACTGCTGGCCGTGCCACTCTTCCTGGCTTTCCTCCTCATCTACCTCCTCACCGTCTCGGGCAATGGGCTCATCATCCTCACTGTCCTGGTGGATGTCCGGCTCCACCACGCCATGTACTGGTTCCTGTGTCACCTGTCCTTCCTGGATATGACCATATCCTCTGCCATCGTGCCCAAACTGCTGGCTGGCTTTCTCTTGGGTAGTCGGGCTATATCTTTTGGGGACTGTGTCATCCAACTTTTCTCTTTCCATTTCCTGGGCTGCACTGAGTGCTTCCTTTACACACTCATGGCTTATGACCGCTTCCTGGCCATCTGTAAGCCTTTGCACTATGCCACCATCATGACCCACAGAGTCTGTAACTACCTGGCTCTTGGCACCTGGATGGGTGGAACCCTCCATTCCCTTTTCCAAACAAGCTTTATATTTAGGCTGCCCTTCTGTGGCCCAAACCGGGTTGACTACTTCTTCTGTGACATCCCTGCCTTGCTGCGTCTTGCCTGTGCTGACACCACCATCAATGAGCTCGTCACCTTTGTGGATATTGGCTTCCTGGCCCTCACCTGCTTTGTGCTCATCCTCACTTCCTATGGCTACATAGTGGCTGCCATCCTGCGGATCAGATCGGCGGAGGGACGCCGCAACGCCTTCTCCACCTGTGCTGCCCACCTCACTGTGGTCATCGTGTACTATGTGCCCTGCACCTTCATTTACCTGCGACCTGGCTCGCAGGAGCCCTTGGATGGGGTGATAGCTGTCTTCTACACTGTTGTCACCCCCTTGCTCAACCCCATCATCTACACCCTCCGCAACAAAGAGATGAAGGCAGCATTATGGAGGCTGGGAGGCTGCAAGGTGGTGCAGGCTCACTGACTACACCCCTCCCTACGTGCAGTAGACATGCCAATACACAGTCCTGATGGGACACTAACTAATCAGGAAGACTGAAAACAGAAAAAGAAAGGAGTCACAGAGATAGCAGAGGACTGCTGGGTAGAAAGGTGAAAACTTGGGAAGTCCATGTTGTAGCCTGCTCTCAACATGGTTTCCCATATGTGCTCCTTCAGAACCAAAGCACATCAGTCAGAACAACTCAGCCAGCATAGCGCCTTGTAGGAAAGTTCAAGATAAGTCAAATGCTCTGTCATTTTATTAAAGCTCTTTCTCAGGCCAGTGGCTAGTGTGAAGATTAAGGCCCTGGATTCCGTATGATCAACACGTGCTCCAAAATTTCAGACCTGGCAGCTTAAAAATTACGCCAGGCACATGTGCTGGCAGATGTGAATGCCAAAAGGAGAATCCCCAAAGGAGACTGAGAGGAGAATGGAGGAGAAGAAATTGCAGCATGGTCATCTCTTAATTTCTCACTTTCCCTTTCTCTGTCTCTCCAGCTAGCACACATGCCCGATAGCAAACAAATACATGGTCTTTCTCATATGTATTATTGCATCTAATGTCCATCTAAATATCTGGTCAGTGTTTTACAGGTAATAAATAACCAGTATGCAAACCATCTAATTTGACCTTGACAACCATTCTGTAATTAGGCATTATTATTATTCCTATCTAGCTGTGGAAATACTGAAGTTCAAGGAAGTGGCTTTTCCTTACTCCATTCTCTCCGCCTTTCACCTTGATAAAAATGATAAAAAATGACCTTGGACTTGAACTTGAGAGGTCAACCTTGCCTTCATGTGAGAGAGCTATTACACATGCACTGCACCAGAAACGGAGTAGGTCTAGTTTTCTGAGCTTGTATAGGACTCCACTGTGGTCAAACTGAGGCAGGAGTGCTGAGGATAAACTTCCTTGCTCCACAGGCACAAGCTGGTGTCTTTGATGCCTCCATTGGTGTTAATGAGGCAGATCGTGTAAAAAGGTAGACAGATGTGTGTGAGTTTGGATACTCATTAGGAGCAAGATTGTATAGGAATACACTGGGGTGCCAGTGGTCTTTGTAAGAATGTTGTCAGCATTTAAAGGGAAGTACTTTTTACCCTTAGGACTCCCAGAGTGCTAGATTTGCTTTTGCTGGGTTTTTCTTTTGTTTGTTTTGAGAGATTTTCACTATAGGGTGCGGGGGCAGGGGGCTCTCCAGAGACACACAAAAGGACAGAAAATCAATATTCCCCTCCTCAGGCAAGGTAGGGGTGATGCCCATGCCACGATTTGAGTGGGGCCAGCAACTGGCATGGAGGTTAAGCTTCTGGATTCCACATGGACAACTGCAGTTTGAGTTCTGGACCCAGTGTCCTTAAAATCACACTGGGCAGGGACTAGCAGATGGAGCAATGGTTAAGTTGTGGGACTCCCACTTAATTAACCATGGTTTGAGTCCTGGACCTGGCAGCTTAAAACACACTGGGCACATATGCATGCATGCACAAAGTCCCAAGAGGAGAATGGAGGAAAAGGGACTTCAGCATGGCCATCCCTTACAAGAGAGGAAAATGCATTTATATATGAGGCAGAGAAATAAAATACATGAACATAAAATAATCAGTGTACATTAAGTGTTGTTCAGGAAAAGGAGAAAGAGAGAGAGAGAGAGAGAGTTCATTAGACCCAGAATTTACAAAGTTGGCTTCCTAGAAAAGGTAAGACAAGCTATGCTCTGAAAGACCCAGTCAGTCAGAGCTGAGCAGTAGGTAGGATTTTTTGTGTGTGTGACGGGGACAGCAAACGGCTCCTGGGACAATCTTAAGGGAATGCTCTGGAGAAGCCTCACTACCTGTCTTAGGAAGAGCAGCCCAAGGCAATTACAAACATGTAAAGCCGCAGTACCACAGGCACCTGAACACAGAACAGCAAGAGGGAGGCAGAATGTTAGTAACAAGGCCCTTGAGCCCAACAGAGAGCCTGTCTGGAACTTGATTAAAACAAACATGAGGACTTCTTTTCCCATAAGGGCCAATGACACATAACACACACACAAATGAATACCTTAACTGGGTGAATATAGAGAGTATTCATGCTGAGAAAATTCATTTTACAAACTGTAATGATACACAGTGCTTGAATGTATAATGAATAAAGAGACTATGGAAAGAAATAAAAGGGAAATTCTTAATTGCTTGTTTTATGTTTAATAGAGAAATATACAATTATCTTATCATGTAAATAGTAATAAAACACCAAGCAACAAATTTTTCTTTATTCTCTATTCATGGTTAAACAGCAGCACAGCTAATGTGTGAGCTTGTCAATTGAGTTGGAAATCTGAACTTTCTACTAGAAAGAACTACAAGCTAATATTTCTTTTTATTTTTGGAGAGGTTTTTGCTATAGGGCATATGCACTAGCCAGAAAGACAGAGAGAGACAGAGAGGCAAAAAACGAGAAATCACCCTATAGGGCAGATGGCCACGCCACAATCCCTTCTCCTCCATTCTCCTCTTGGCATCTTGGGCACGCATGCACAGGTACCTGACATGAGTTTAAGCCACTGGTCCGGGATTCGAACCACAGTCAACTACATGGGATTCCAGCAACATAGCCATTATGCAATCTGCTAATCCCTACAAGGTAGTATCTTAAAATACAACTTTAAGGGGACATTTTAGGGACCAGCAGATGGCCTAACGGTTACGTCGCTGGACTCCCACGTAGTCAACCATGGTTCAAGTCCTAGACCCGGAGGCTTAAATTCACACTGGGCACGTGTGAGTGTGTGCCCACAATCCCAAGAGGAGACTAAGGAGAAGCGATTGAGGCATGGCCATTTCCCCTGGGAGATGATTTCTCACTTTCTGTCTCTCACAGTCTCTCTGGTGAGCGTGCATGCCCTATAGCAAAAATCTTTCTCTCTACTCTAAAAAAAAAAAAAAAAATTCACATTTATTTCTAGTTTATTGAAGCTAGAGAATTAAATGAATAAATAAAGCAGAACCAAAAAAGTAGTGTTAGTTTGTGTGACTATTTCTCCACATTTGAACATAGAAGCTAAGAATATATTACTATTTTGAATAATACATTACTAACTTAATAGTTAAGCTTTGGCTTCTTTCTACCTTTTCACTTCATTTTTTCTTAACTCTAGGAGGGTGCATGAGCTGGTCAGAGAGAGAGGGAGAGACAGAGAGAGAGAGAAGAAGAAGCACTCCTAAATGAGGCATGGTCATTCTCCAATCCCTTCTCCTTCATTTCCCCATCCTAAGATTTTGAGCATGCACACACATGGATTTAGCATGTTTTTTCAAGCCACCTCCATGTTTTTAGAGCCAGCATTTGAATTGTGGTCAGATATGTGTGATCTGGCTCCCTTAACCACTAGGCTACAGGGTTGTCCCAGGCTTCAAATTTTAAAATTCAAATACATACATTAATATTGAGCAATATTACACTAATGTATCTGCCTTATTAATAAACTTATTAAATAGCTGTTCCTTTAAAATACTTTAAATACCCAGTTAGGGCTGCTTTTCTACCCTTTCTATGTTCAGATTATTTCTAAAGGATATTTAAAGTCCTTTGACCACTCTGCATTTAATATCTTTAGCATTAATTTCCTTTTATTTTTTTTCTAGTTAAGCAAGATGATCTTTAAGTGATACTGTATGGATTCAAAAGTTCTATAATCTTTCCACCTCCACAGTGTTCATGAAAGGTCGTGAAGGCTCTTAAAACTCTATGAGTATGGGGCCAGTAGATGGCATGGAGGTTAAGGTGTTGGATCCCATATGGTCGGCTGTGTGGTTCAAGTCCCAGACCTGGCAGATTGAGAAACATGCCTGGTGTGTGTGGGTGTGTGTGCACCCAAAATCCCGACAAGAGGGTGGAGAAAGAATTGTAGCATGGCCATATCTCCTGGGAATGATTTCTCACTCTCTCACTCTCTCTCTCTCTTTCTGTCTCTCATGAGTACATACATGGTGTATACCCAAAACTAAAACATACACAAAACTTCATAAATATGTACAACTATTATATGAAAATTAGAAATAATCACAATAACACTATTAAAATAATATAATGAAGAAAAATGCCCTGGGAAAAAAAGATAAGAAATTGAGTTGGGCCAGTGATGGCGCGGTGGCTAAGGTGTTGGATCCCTCCCTCATGGCTGACTCTGTTGTTTGAGTCCTGTACACAGAACTTAGAAAACATGTCAGTTGCATGTGCATGCATGCCCAAAATCCCAAGAGAAGAATGGAGAATGATTATAATGTGGCCATTCACCCAGGGGATGATTTCACATTTTCCCTCTTTCTCTGTCTCTTTCCAGTGAGTGCACACACCCTATGGCAAAAATCTAAGGGAAAAAAAAAAAACTTAAGAAAATGTATCATAAGAAAATCTGAAGTTTTTTTTTGTCAAGATTAACAGTCATCAACTGGATTTTTCTCATCCACCATTTAAATATTGTACCTAGGGAGTGAAATACATATTTTACATAGTGTTGAATGATAAATTAAGACATTTTTGGTGCATAGTAAATTGCTTCATGAGGTTGGGATAATTAGCATTTCTAGAAGGGGATCAGTGACATAAAATCTTTCGGGATTTAATCAGTCAATGCATTCCATCAGTGCAGGATGGAATAATTCACTAAAAGAGAAAGGTAAGAGTTGAGAAGATCTTTTAGAAGACTATTATAATCATCCAACTCTGGTGAAATAAGAGGCTAAAAATAATAATTGAGAAGATTAAAATCCAGGTATGGCTAGATCTATTTCAAGACTGGAGACTAGTTACATTAAAAAAAGTAAAAAATAAAAAAATAAAAAAGCAAAGAAAATAAAGATTAAGAAACCATAGAATTCTGATATGGAGCTTGACAATTTGAATGAAGAAAGTAGAGTGTGAACAAGGACATCTAAAATTTAACGACAAAAAAATCCAAATAAGATGATACGATAAGCCAAAGATCGCCT